AATGTAAAAAGCTAAGGACTTAGGAAACAGATGCAACTCTGGCAGTATAAAAATAGTGGGGATTAGGTAAAGACCTCAAAGTGGCAAAGCACTACATTTTCACAAAAAGATAAACAAAACTTGTTCTGTAATAGGTTCAGTAATGAACATTTATTTCATTTACAAATAGAACTGAAATGGTTGTACTGATAAAATGGTGACAGTTACATGTAACCAAAGACATGTTTGCAAGGTAATGTTTTTAAACAAAACAAATTTCTGACTGGGTTTTGAGATACATTTTAGGCAAAAACCTTTTCCTTAAAATGCTCTGGCAGTGTTCATAATCTTTGAAAATACAAAAGCACAGGGAACTCTGTCCAAGGGGTGAGGAATATAAAAGCTTGTTAAAATGAGCTTTGGAACGGGCACTGGGTTGGCTGAATATTGCAGATGGGTACAGTTCTGGGATTTACGTTGCCTGAGGGGAAAATGGGGGACATGAAATGTGCAGTACGCCCTTTAATTTTTAAGAGCGTGCGATAGTTAGACAATTTTCGTTTGTGATTCCTATCAACATGTACGCTGTATCTTTCCAAATGTAAATTAATTTTTTTGGTACAATTATAGCATCTTGATAACAACTTATGTACACGTACATGAATGTTTTGAAATGAGATGAGATATGCGTAAATACCGATATGAGAGTAAATGCATTAATGAAAGACAAATAAAAGGTGAACAGTAGTCTTTGTTCCAAAGCAAACTGACCAATTGTGTATTCAAGTACCTCGTTAAGTTAACGAATAATCTGGATGTGAATACAGTACAAGGCTGCTATACTGAATAATCGGGTTGACAGAAAATGCCCCTTGGCTCCCACTGTTTCTGAGCACTTTTACCAAACATCATCAGAAAATTGCTATAAACTTAGAAACATAAGACTGATGATAGCGGCTGTAAGTTAACCTTTCAAGATTGAAGTCAAAAATCGGAATGCCCATTTTACAAGCTCATGGGAAAACAAGCAGCCATGCAAGGAAAGGTTCATTACAGTTGGGGGTGGGGAGGGAATTTGACATACATGTAGCAAATGGCACCCTCTCTGTGAAAATAGCGCCCTCTGCAGTTTCACTGTAAATAATACCCATTTAATTTGTGGAAACAGTGCCCTCTTTTTTCTAAAACTTGTGCCGTCTTTTTTCTGAAAGAAGTGCTCTTTTCTGAAAATGCACATGTAGTGCCTTCATTTTCTGCAAAGAGCGCCCTCTTCTTTAAAAAATAGTGCCCACTTCTATAAAGATCACTTTTCTTGTGAAATAGTGCCCTCTTTTTTTTATTTTGTACAAAAAACCACCCTCTTTTTTGTGGAAAGAGTGCCCTTTTTTTCTAAAACTAGTGCCGTCTTTTCTTAAAAAAGAGCTTTCTTTTTCTGAAAAGGCGCATGTAGTTCCCTCTTTTTTCTGCAAAGAGCACCCTCTTCCTTGAATAATAGTGCCCTTTTTTCTGAAAATAACGCCCTTTCTTTCTCTGGAAACTGCCCTCTTTTTTCTAAAATAGTGCCTTCTTTTTCTAAAATAGTGCCCTCTTTTTTTTCTGAAAATAGTTCCCTTTTTTCTAAAAACAGTGCCCTGTTCTTTCTGCAAATAGTGCCCTCTTTCTTTCTGACATCAGTTCCCTCTTTCTTTCTGAAAATAGAGCCCCCTTTTTAAAAGTGTCTTCATTTTTCTGAAAATGGTGCCCTTTTTCTGCAAATAGTGCCATTTTTTCTGCAAATAGTTCCCTCTTTCTGAAATTAGTGCCCTCTTTTTTTAAAAGCGTCTCCATATTTCTGAAAATGGTGCCCTTTTTTTCTTAAAATAAAGCCCTCTTTCTTTCTGAAAATAGTGCCCTCTTTTTTTAAAACAGTGTCCTCGTTTTTTCTGAAAATGGTGCCCTTTTTTCGGAAAATAGTGCCCTCTTTTTTTTCTGAAAATGGTGCCCTCTTCTTTCTGAAAATAGTTCTCTTTTTTCTGATAACAGTGCCCTGTTTTTTTCTGCAAATAGTGCCCTCTTTTTTCTGCAAATGGTGCCCTCTTTTTCTTCTGAAAATGGTGCCTTCTTTTTCTGAAAATGGGGCCCTCTTCTTTCTGAAAATAGTTCTCTTTTTTTCTGAAAACAGTGCCCTCTTTTCTGAAAACAGTGCCCTCTTTTCTTTTGAAAACAGTGCCATCTTTTTTTAAAACAGTGTCCTCTTTTTTTCGGAAATGGTGCCCTTTTTTTTGGAAAATAGTGCCCTTTTTATTCTGAAAGTGATGCCCTCTTCTTTCTGAAAAAGTGCTCCTTTTTTTTCTGAAAATAATACCCTCTTTTCTGCAAATGGTGCCCTCTTTTTCTTCTGAAAATGGCACTGTTTATTCTGAAAATGGTATTCCTCGTATTTCTCCAGACCTTTTCTCCTTGATATGGAAACTGGGATGCTTCAATTTTTGGGCTTTTGAAACCTCAATAAATGGTTCCAATTAAATCAGGACAACTGGCAGGTATGCTACTCCAAGAATTCGTGTGGGCACTGCCCTGCTCATGATAGCAGCCTTGTTACTGTATACCAATATATATTCATGTACCGGTACATGTAAAATGCACACAGGCTTGCTCCATCACTACAATGGAAGCAAGGAACTGCATCTCTTTGAAGACTGAGTCCTTTCCTTGCCTTTGTGAATCCCTGCTTATTGTGCCTAAGATTCTGACCAGGATCTTGGAAACTTTTCCTCCTCAGTGACGAAGACGAGGACTGCCATCTATCTGAGTTCCTATCCTTGACTTTCTCGTGAATCATCTCTCAGAAGTGATCACAGGGCCCTCCATCTTGATTCTGTCCTTGTTGAAGGAGGCGAGGGCGCTCTTCTCACCAGCACCATAGATCAGGTTCACCTTGGGCATACACACAGCTTTCATAAGACGACGTCTGGGGAAGAAATTAACCACAGTATGAGTTGCGGCAGAAACAAACATTTGAGATTCTTGTATGGTCCTCATTCTTATACCGGGTACCTTATTTCATACAGAAGAGCCAGTGTCTGTGGGTGCGTCTGACACAAAGTCCCTGCATGACTTTCACTCATCATCAACTTACACCTTTATAAGTCAGGAAATGAACTAGGAGAAAAGGATTTCCCTGACACTGCTGATCTGTTACTCATGAAAGGACCTCTCATGGACTAAACTAACACTACACTTAACCCTAACAGTCCCAAATCCTCCAATTTCAATAGAATTTTACATACACCCTTTGGGGGTTAGGGATAATACGAGATTGGTCGGTGTTTGTGGTAAATGCTTTGAGAAAACCATTGATATCCCTTTTGAATTAAAACAGTGACCTTTATATTCAGATTGTTCATGCCCTTCTGGACAAATGAGGGCGCTGTTTACTGTGATGTCAATCAGGGAAGACCACAGACCTAAGAATACCTACAGACCGACAGCAGCTATACAGTGTGTTAAAAAAAAAGGGAAACCAAGATCAATTTCTTCATTTCTTGGGCATGGCTAAATTTTTTGGAAACTGGCAACCACCATTTATTAACTAATGATGTCCTCTTTTTTATGATGCCAAGAAATCCAATTTACTGTCACAGATGACTGCGCACAAAGCAGTTCAATCAATCATGTCAGAACTGGTCTTGCACCAGATTCGCCGCAGCCTACTGGTAACTCTGACAATTTTCATACCTAAAAGGAAGAAGAAAAACCANGTGTGTCCTTAACAAAATTTGTATTCACGTGATTTAACATTTGGGTGTTCAGTTATGCCTGTCTCGACTTAATAACCCATTATCCTTGGACCTGCCCCCATTTCTTTCAACACAAGATTCAGCTCTGGTTCTCATCACTCCCAATGCATTCCAAATCATAGGGGATGAAGTCAGGGGACCTTGGTGGCCACTCAATCTCATGGTTGATCCCAATTAGTCTCATGTTGAACAACTCTCGTAGCCTTTCCTTCACGATGATCCGATAATGAGCAGGAACTCCATCCTGGGCCCACCATAAGCGGAGAAACGTGGTGTTCAAAGCATTGCTGTAAATGCAGTACAATTTTGTCAATGATAATCTCAAGATGACATTCACCATTGAGATAACCATCCAAGAAACAGGGTCCAATGAGGGTGCCATCTCCACACAGACCTATTCAAAGAGAAATCTTCTCTTGGCTCATTTTCACATTAAAACAGAAGCTGCGTGGGGTATGCATCGGAGTGTATTCACAGACATTCTGGTTATTGACTTGGCCATTCATGAAAAATGTTGCTTCATCCCCAATCACAAGGTGCTCCAAGAATCTGGGATGCCGATCAAGGAACCACTGACAAAATCTTAGTCGTCTGGGTTGATCTGCATCAGGGAGTTCATGTCACTTGCAATTGTGCATCTTACAAGAGCACCACTGGATGTCCAATTGACCAATCTTGTAGAAAGATGATGGCGACATTCCAAGCCCATTTCTCCTAGCAAGTCTCTTTGTAGCAACTCACAGACAGCCCTGATGTTCGCATCTGATCTTGCTGTTCTTCGTCTGGCTGTTCCTTGCCTGGCTGAGTGACCCCTGTTGAGATTTGAGCTTGTCCCCTCTCTTTGGTACTTTCGGATGATTTTCCAAATTGTCGACTTGGCAGGAAAGGCACGGTCCGGAAAACACTGACAAAATGCAACTGCTACATGTACTTGCTGGAGGCTTTTAGTCCTCAACCACTCTGTTTACCAAAAATGCACTCTACTCAGTTGTAAGACAAATTTTGCTGATCTGGGAAAATGAACAATCTTTCCAACTTTTAAGGAGTGTGTGATGAAATGACATGCTGAGTACTGCATAATTTTAAGGTCCACCAAAAGCCCTGCACTGAGAAGACAAGGTTCGCTTTACCAAAACATCCACCAGTATCTAGTGAAAGTCCAGTTCTGACATGGTTGATTGAGCTGCTTCATGCTCAGTCATCTGTGACAGTACATCAGATTTCTTGGTGTTATAAGAAAGAGAACATCATTAGTTAATAAATGGTGTTTGCAAATTTGTATTTAACCATGTCCAAGATATTAACAAATTCTTGGTTTCCTTTTTTTTTAAAACACACTGTAGAAATCATCGACTCAACTCAAAACTGTGGGTGGAAGTACAATATTGATCACTGCGCAGTCCACTATTGTGCTTTTGTTCAGTAAGAGATTTGAACACTTCTAAATTGACTTACAAGTCCATATATCCATTGCTCACCTACAAAAACTCTTAATAAACGCAGACAATCATACACCATATACTGTCCGTGTACATGATTTTCATTTTTATATATTTTGTTATTTATTAAATGTTTCGAGACACAGTTCTCAGCGCTCTTTCAGATAAACTAGAGAAAATGTATCTGCATCAAATATGTCACTTTCTAACTGGGACACGTATGTTTGGAATATTTTCGGACACATTTAATGCTGGGGGTTCCAAACAAATGAAACAGTACTTTAATAAAAGACCAACTGTGCAAAGTAATGGATAAGTTGCCATTGTTTGCCCATTCATTCTCAAGGATTTTGCTACAAATTAAAGTAAACTCTGGGGATGAGGTAGTACCGGTAAATAAGCCGTTTGCGAGTAAAATTTGAGTTCTTTAAATTCACGTGAACAGAACAAGTACATGTAGTATTCTCCACACTAGCCTGCAAGATGGCAGCCATGCAAACCCTCTACATGTACATGTATGTATGCGGAATATCCACATTGCACCGGTCGAGGTGAACATACAATGTTTAGTTCCTTGCCATTCAATTAAATATATGTGTCCCCATACTAAAGACACTGTTGCTATACCTCATGATTTGGGGCACTGAAGCTTTTGCTTAGTTACATAAGAGACGTCTTGAAACAATACGCTGTGCTCAATGGATAAGGAAGGCATAAAGGAACCAGTCCATTCCAGAGATGGCGGTCGCTATGCAAGAGCTTGCCCTGAATCACGAGGTATAGCAACAGTGTCTTTAGTACGGGGACACATATATTTAGTTGAATGGCAAGGAACTAAACATTGTATGTTCACCTCGACCGGTGCAATGTGGATATTCCACATACATACATGTACATGTAGAGGGTTTGCATGGCTGCCATCTTGCAGGCTAGTGCTTTTGTTCCACAGGGTATGCAAACAGGTTTCCCTGTGGAGCAACCGCACTGCCCTGCAAGATGGCTACCGAGCAAAGCCTCTGTACTGTTGGTCTCTCTCAAATGATGTCACTTTGTACAAACTGCCACATGCATAGATCAGCACTTTTGTCTCTAAAATTTAGGAAGGTGCATCGGCCTTTGCCTTTTTTGAAGGTACATGTGCGTGTACCTGGTATTTGGATCAACGCACCCCTGAGTATAGAACATTTAAACACCGCACGCACACACACGTGTTGACATTGTGTAATTTGCCCATGAAATATGGTGTCCAATGAGAGAGATCTATGGGTCTGCCCACACTAAAAGACACATTTGCACATAACCAAAATCATCTCTTTCTTCAACAGTGTTGAGAGTCAAAAAATAAACTTGAACAAGTTTACTGATATTTGTGTAACTGTGGAGATATAGTTTACACAGTCTAATAGAATTTGGTTGTTCGTTGTAAAAAAAAATCAGGCTTTTGATGGAAATGTCCAGCTTTTTTAGGGGTTCTGGTGGGACATGCACATCTGATATACATGTACCACTCTCATGGAGGAAAGCAATTCATCTGATACAACATGGGTGCTACAGGAATAACATTGGAGAAATGTGTCCAAATCTATGGCTTGTATTTCTTTAAGTTATCTTCAACAGGAATTTAAGGAGAGCTAATCAAGGAATAACGTAAGTCACAGTGTGTGTCCGCAGAGTGACAAACATGAAACAGGCTGATTTGCCATGCCTTGAGCAGATAACTTCGACAAAAATATCTATCTTCTTGAGAAAAGTTTTTACAATTTACTAGTTTACATCATATTTGTGTGGTTTTTTCTGTCTGATGACAAAACTAAGATTTGATTTTAGGAAGTGCAAATGTCTGTCCATTATATTGTAAAGTTTGCCACAACCATTTTTTTCCCTTCTACATGTGAAAATCTGAAAAAGACTTATACTGTAAGTACATACATTTATTAAAAAAACCAAATTTAATAAAGCGATGAACAATTCATTAGAAAAAGTCGGTTCATTTTGCCGAAATAACAGTGAGAAGATTGTCTGTCCTCAGGCCATGATATGTGACAAAAACTACATGTATGTCTGTCCATGTGACAAACGTTACTCATTGAGAAAATTTGCATTGTGTTCAATTTAGTCAAAGTTTAATAGTCTTTTTAACCAAAATGATTTTGAAAACTGAAAACTAAGACGTTTGGTTTGTGAAAAATTCTGTTTTCATGCTCTAATTCAAACACCCAAAAAAATGTCTGTCCATGTGACAAACGTGATGTCTGTCCACTGACAAACGTTACATATTTTTCTTGAAATAAATTTCAGTGTTAGCAACACTGCAATTCTTTTGATGAGATAATGAAAGTTTCTAAAAGTAAACTAAAAAGAGTATTTCACACATTGTAGGAAATTTTCAATTACATGTATGTTTTGAATTTAATTTTCATATTTAAGAAACAAAGTGTCCGTCCATGTGACAAACGTTATATCTTCAAGAATAAACTTCCGCAACTTCTCAAATACTGCTCAATTTATCTTGACCTTTCTGTGGCAACAATCAGAAACAGTGAAGACATACA